TGGCCCAGTTAACTCCTTATATGGTGCTCAGAACCTTCTTCTAGGTTCTACTCTTACCCTAGACTGCTTGGCCTTTCATTGGTGGGGAGCAGCAGCTGGTCATCCAGCAAACCCGACTCCTCTGAAGACCTCTGACAGCATTTCAGCTTTCCTGGGCTCCGCGGAGGGCAGCAGTTCCCACCCCACAGTCCAGGGCTCTGACTACAGAGCCCTGTGTGCTTATCCCTTCTCCTCCATCATTCACATCTTTCACTGAGTTGTGCAAGGTTGGCTCCTTTTGCCCTTCCTCCCTTAGCCACACAAGGGCACTCCAGAAGTTCAATCACATCCTGAGGCAATTATTTAACAACCAACCTACTACAAATTCAAGACTTGGACCATTGAGATGGTTCAGTGGGTAAAAGTGGCTGTTCCCCAGGATCTACATGATGGAAGGAGAATCAACTCAAGGGAGCTGCCTTCTGACCTCCACATGTGCTCTGTGGCATGTGTGCAGGAACACAGTAAATAAATAAATAAATAAATGTTTTTTTTTTTTAGGCAAAGAATTCATGGCTTAGTGAAGGCAGCATGAAGGTGATGTCCCTCATCTGACTTTAAAACAACAGTCATCAAAACTTTGTGGATGTAAGCACACACACAGTTATGCACGCACAGGTACATTCTTGAATGAAATTAATCAGTACTATAGAGACTAAAGAATTAAATTTGTGTGGTTAAATGAGAAAATGTACAAAGAAGCACAGTGAGGGCAACCGCTGGCACTTAATAACTCGGGGACTCCTGGCTCCCGCCTGGAATAGAGCTAACTTCAGCTCACATCTTCACCTTTGGTCCATTTCAAATGGATCGGCTGTAGCCATCAAAGATAAACTCAGAAGCTTAACGAGAAGAGGAAAGATGATATCCCACCCTTGACTACATCAGTCATCAGAAACAAGAGAACAGATGAGCTAGCAGACAAAAAGGTCACCTAGCTCATGCGATCATAAATAATAAAGATCAGGGTATCTTAACTGAATCCCGGACCACCTAGTTATGAAGTTGTGGAAGGAAACGGAGCCCCTTAATGATCTCTGAATTCTCAGCCAGTCACTCCAAAGTTGGCAGAGCGGTGGAAGGTTTGGTTTGGCTTCTGTACCATGGAGAATATGTTAGATGAAAAGCCAGATAGACCTGCTCACTCCTGCCTCTATTTATTAAAAAGCTCACTGAGTGTCCACTTATGTCAGACCCTGTCTGAGATTCTGGGATTCAGAGTTGGACAAGGCCCAGGTCTGTGTCATGGTTCCTCCTGCAGCGGAGGATGTAGGAGTTGTCAGTGGTCACCATGCAGTATGGGTTCCCTGTCACTGAGAGGCACCCAAGATGCTTGGGAGGAGAGGCTGAATTCCCTGGACAGAATCCTAAGGGAATATGAGAGCACCAGAAAAAGTAGAACAGAAGTATGTTTAAAAAGAGATTGCCTGGCAAGGACGGAAGGATCCCTGGGGCTTGCTGGCCAGCGAGCCTGGCCTAACCTGTGAACTCCAGGTTCTGTGGGAGACCCCATCTTCATATTTTAAAGTGAGGATCAGTTTTTAGAAGTCAGTCAGGATATCCAAATAGTTCATAGACATACAAAAGTTTGATCAACTCTACTGGGGAGATGGCTCCACGGATGAAGTGTCTGCCACAGATCATAAGGACCTGAGCTCCATCCCCAGCATCCATGATTAAAAACTGAGCACAGTGTGCAATTGTAACACCAGTACTGGGGAGCTGGAGGCAGGAAGATCCCTAGGGATAACTGGACACACAGTATACACCAGTAAGTGAGCAGTGCCAGCGAGAGACCTTGTCTTCCAAAACAACGTGATGGCTCCAGAGGAACAGCCAAGGTTGCCCTCAGCACACGCACAGACACCCACACCCACAGTCACAGGCAGGGAGAGAGACACACACATACTCACAAGTAGGGAAATAGGAATTAAGGCTTCCTTAAGATTCTAACCGCATCTGTTAGAAGTGTTGAAAGTAAAGGCTGCCATGAGGCTGGATGCTGGCCAGCGGATGAGGACAGGGGCTCTACTTCCCGATGCATATGTGTCTTGGGTACAAACAAACACAGAAGAAGGCACGCCAGCAGTACCTGCTCGTCTGAAGACTGTGCACTCCTGTGACCCAACACCACACCGAGGGAAACTAGAGGAAATGCAAACATGTGTATACTCGGATACACATAAGGACAGTCGCACCACACTGGCAGATTCCACGGGTCCATGACAGCCCACATGCTGTTGGGGAAAAGCGGGTAAGTCACAGTAGGTATAGTCGTGGTGTGGACTATTGCACTACAGTGAAAATAAACTATTTGCCTCATGCGTGGATCTCAAAGCCTCAACATTCAGAGAAAGAACTTGAAACAGAAAAGCACATTTTTCATGGAAAAGGCTCAGAGTCAAGGAAGACAGAGCCCAGGATGGAAGGTGTGTTTACATCAAGTTCTGTTTTTAAGTGAACAGAAGCGACAGCTATAAAAGTTCAGGTGGCAATCACCCCTGAAAGGTGGGGAGCTCCCACCCCCTATCAGAACAGAGCAATGCCCTGGGTGTTCTCTTCCCTTCTGGGTTGTACTTTGGGGGAGCACAGGCCTGGCAGCACCGTTCCTGCCCTAGCAATGGTCCTCACCCTCCGAAACAGCAGCCCTTCCGATCAAGCTAGCTTCATTAGGAGAGGAACCCACAGGGCAATCCTGCAGACTAGCCCTGACCCTCAGAGACACAAGGGGCCATGATGGTGAAGCTTCAGGGATGTAGGAGGGGAAGGGTGACTGCCCACAGGATGAAGTAGATGTGGGATGAGGTGCGGCCTTTCTTTCTGACTGTGAATTCAGCATCCCTTGGGAGAGATATGGATCTGGCTCCTTTGTATCCCCAGTCTGCAGAAGGCCTGACTGACTACGTATTTAATCCATTTGCTGAACCTAAGTTAGTCTTAATCTGGGTAAATGCCATCTTGTTTCCCATTATTCAAAGCTAGAAATGCAAGGCTGAGCAAATCTTGCCATCCCATTTCATAGATGGGAAAATTGAGGCTCAGAAGGAGCCGTTAGTCATCTCAGTTTACAGATGAAACCTGGGTTTTCCAATGCTCAAAAATGGATGAGGGAGGGGCAAGGAGGACGTTTACAAAGATCTACTTTTTAATAAACACACTGTCCGCAGATTACTGTACATCTGGGCTCCACCCCCCCGGGAGCTTTGCCTATAGTGACATCCAGGGACAGCACAGACAATAGAGCTTGAGACCTGGAAAAGCAGCCTGGACTCAGAACAACCTTCAGGGGGCAGCAGTCCTCAACGGGGCTGGCAGACTGTAAATGGCCAGCCAGGTGCAGACTCTCTGCAGGCTTGCTGGGAACCAGACCATAGGTCTCACCTGAGTCTAGAGGACTGCAAAGTGCAGTCTTTAGTTTTACTAAGCAGCTTTGTTGAGGTCTAGAGTGCAGCTCGTGCTGAAGGCAGCCAGGTCAGCTACTGCGTCTGAGTGATTGCACAGCCGCCACCACAGTCCAGCCTTGTGTCATCCCATACAAAGTCCCCAACTGTCCGTGTTAGTCGCCCCTGCTTCTTTCCCTAGGACTAAGCCATCATGGATGCCCTCCAGCTTTGTAGTTTTTCCTTTTCAGAAATTCTGTTTGAACGGGCTCTGAGAACCTGCAGGCTTATATCTGGCCACGTAAGCTTCCCGTGTTTGTAGCATGGATCTGTGCTTCCTCCCTTTTCGTTGCTGAATAGTATCCCGTTGAAAGGACATACCATAATTTATTTACTTAACAGTCAATGAGAAAGTTTGTTTCTACACTTTGCCACTGAGTATAATGCTGTTATAAATGGTTGCATAAAAGCTTTTGAGTGGGAATATGGTTTTCCATCTCTTGAGTAGCCATTTAAGGAGTAGACTCACTCGGTAGTGGTGTAATCAATATTGAGTGCTTAAGAAGCCACCTAACTATTGGCGACATGGAAAAACTTAAACATTTAGCTTAGTGGTCAAGAGCATAAGTTCTTCCAGCTGTACTTCTGCCAATGCAGGTCATGTGCTCTTGGGCAAATGACTTTGCCTCAGTATCCTCGTCTGTGAAACTGCATCTGTGGAGCTGGTGTGAGCTCGGTCGACTCCTATAAAACGGTAAAGTCTTGAGGCTGGTTGAAAAATAGTTTATCAGTGTAGCCCAGGCCAGTCTTGAAGTTATGATCCTCCTGCCTTAGCATTCCAAGTGCTGGGATTACAACTTTTTTCTCCTTCTTTCCTTTCCTTTCCTTTCCTTTCCTTTCCTTTCCTTTCCTTTCCTTTCCTTCTCTTTCCTTTCCTATTCTCTTCTTTTCTTTTCCTAATAGCCAGTTGAGCAGTGGCCCTGTGAAAAGAATCTCTCCCATAGACTTGCAGGTTATCACAGATCTATCTTGGAACAACCGAGTGTCTTTAGGCAAACTGCCTGCCCCTCTGGGCTTTCAGATGGAGATGACCCTCCAGAGCAACAGGCTACAGGAGCTTTGGGAATGCAATGGGCTCCTGTCATGAGTAGGACACGCCCACTACACCATTCACAGGAGACTGGGGGACCTTAAGGCCATCTCTGGGAGACTCCTTTGATCATTGACAACAAAGTCTCTGAAGTGAGGGTACCCGAGTCAAATCCTACCCCCAGACACTTGGAAAACTGACTTGGATTCAGAGTTCTCAGAATAGGAGAGCTAAGGTCCTCAGTCCCCAGCCCCTGGAATAATGACTGAGAAGGGAGGCTGTTCACACTTCATCTGACACACCGCTGGATGAGAGCTAGCCATGTAAGCTGCACACAAGTTCTACAGAGCTCAGGGCTCCCAGAGTCCTCTTCGGATCCCAAAGGAGCACTGAATGTTGTCAGCTGCCCTCTGCAGTTGACTTGGCAAAGCTCTATATCATATGGGAAATTGCAAGGTTTCCACACTGGTCATCCTGAGAGAAGCCAGAACTCTGCTCCAACTGCCCTTTGATCTGCAAGAAATGCCAGGCTGGACGCCCTGGCAGGAAGAGCTATTATTGCATCTGCGTCTTACTCCCTCACAGACCACAGACCGGGTGGTACCAGGCTTCTTCAAGCACCTAAGGAGTTAAACAAGGCCACCAATCCTAGCCCAACTTCCATCAGAGGACCATGACACACTCCCCAGCCTTCTTCATTTATTCATCTGGGCTATGTGCTAATCCTCTAAGGGCTGAGAGGCTGCTGTTCCAAAAGCCTGGTTTTGCTGAGCGCATGGCGCGAAGACGGAACAGGGACCGGAACCTGCCCAACTAGGTTTGAGTTCTGGCTTTCAGAGCTGCCTGCATTTCCTATGTCTCCCCACTGCAGCTGAGGTACTTCCCAACACAAAAGTTCCTGCGAAGAGGGAGATATCTTCTACTCTTATTTTCTAACTGCTCAGCACCCAGAAGCATGGAAAGAACTCCCCCCCCCATCTGTCCGTTAGACTTCACAATATCCCTGGGAAATAGTAAGTGGGTCTAGTTTATCCTTTTCAGATGAAGAAACTGAGGCATGTAGATAAGAAAAGTATTGCCCATGGTCACCCAACAGAGGCGCGATTCATACCCAGGCAGCCAGACTTTAACCCAAATCCACTTTAATTAGACAGTTTCTGAGTCCTGGTTTGGGGGGGGGCGGTGAGTCACAGAGAACAGAAGGAAGGGTCACTTGCCCAGGCTTAGTCCATCACTCACCGAACCTCTGTCCCTCAGGGATGGGGAAGGTGGAGGGGGGACCTCTGGTAACCTGCTGAACCAAGCGCGCCTGCCACTCTGTTCCGTTATGTTAGGAGAGACCAGGGCGCCGAGGTGTCCCTGCTGGTGACTGTGCTTTCTATAGACCTAATGGACTTCGGGTCTGCTCAACCCGAGCCCGGCGCTCCAGGAACTCGGCGCGGATGCCCAACACTATTGGTGACCCTGTCCTTTCTGGCAGTGTGGTGTCACTGTGCAGCCAAAACCCCTCTCTGCCCTCACTGGGAAGCCGCGTCCAGCTCAGACACTCTGCGTGCCCTGGCTGAAGCGATCTCCCCAGCGCCTAGAAACCACAGTACCCGGGAGGACCCGGGACAGAAGAGCCAGCACAGTGCGCTGCGCCAAGCAAGCACTCCCTTTTATGTCCAGGAATGAGGCGCCGCGGCACCCAGGCGCACAACCGGCGGCTGTGGTGGCTTACCTGTCGCGGCGCGCGTCTGCAGGACGACGGAGAGCAGCGCGGAGATGATGGAGAGCAGCCACCGTGGGCGCCGGTTCTGCGCGGTCCTCCTGAAAGAAGCGGTGGCAGAGAAGGTGAGGAGGCGGCGGGGCGGCAGAGGCCAGGGCGCCGGGGCTCGGGGCGCGGGTCTTACCTGGGTGCCATGGTGCAGCCGCCGGACCCCAGCTCCGCTTCGCACGCGGAACAAAGGCGGCGCTCTGTGGCGACGGCGGGATCCCGGCTGCCGCCCGCGCCTGACTCACCCGCGCACTGAAACCCGACTCCGCCGCGCCCTGCGCTCCCCCACGCGCGGTGCCCCACCTCGCCGCTGGTCCCGGCCGAGCCTCCCCACGCCCCCTTCTTCGCGCCACCCCAGGGTCTTATGTAACTCGCAAAGAAAGCCCCGCGTGCCGACACAGCGCCCCACAACCCAGGTCGACTGGAATCGCTGGGGTTTCCCTACATGACGGACCAGTCTGCTAAGGCTCAGAGAAGAGCTGCAGTGTCCCAAAGCCACACAACTAATGTGTTTCTCGGCTGCTGTGCCACACCCAGCACGCCAGCCAGGGTCCCGCTTGCATGCCCCAGAGTAGCTGCAGTGGGGACAGAAGTCCTGCACAGAGGTAGGACTTTGAAGGTCACGTTGTGTGTACCCCGAACATTTTGGAATCCCAAGCCCTTGATCCAGGGGCGCAGCCGTCAGAAACCTGATCTAGCCTCCTCCTGCCTGTCCCCCAAGTTAATGATGGGGGAACTGAGGTCAGGAGAAGGCAAACGATTTACCAAGATATCCACCTAGTGAGCGACACAGGGCTGGAGACCCAATATAGAAGGAAAAGGCAAAGTCTCAGCGTTCACCAGGGCAGGTAGGGTCAGGTGTGTTACCTGCCTCCTGGGGAGAAAATAGACCACTTAACCAACAAGGAACACAGAGGCAGGAATCGAGAATGTTCTTGGACACATTCTCCCCAGGAATCCTTGCAGTTACTAGTGCACTGCGTGAAAAGGGGGGTGAGGACTCGTCCCTGCTCAGGCCAAGAACAGTCTAGACGTTAGTAAGGTACAACTGAATTCTCAGAGTGGCGGCGCAGGGCAGTGATCAACAGTGTGTCTACCTGCTGTTGGCACTGCCCTGATCATATCCTCAGATAGCAAGGGTCAATATAGGCAGGACCATAGGCTCTTAAGGAACTAAGGCACAAAGAACCAAAGTGACCCCAGAGCTAGGAGGGCTCCAAGGAACTAACAAGGAAATACGGCGTTTTAAGGACACTGTCCAGTTTAGATGGCTTTGACAACACCCATTCCACTGTCTATGGATGTGAGCCCTCTCCCACCACCCACTGCAGCTTTCTGGGATGGGCATAACTGTTGTTACAAAAGCTAACCACAGGGAATGGCTTTCTCAGGTCTGTATTTCTTGCAAAAATGCATCAGTGGTTCTGGAATTGACTTCCTGAATAGATCTTACCTGAGAAGACAGCAGCACATATGGCTGTTCTGTTTGCTAGTTAGGGCCAGGAGCTAGAAACTGGTGCCCTGGGCTCCATGTGCCCCACAGATTAGTTTGGATTGGTTTGCTGGGCAATAGCTTCCAAATTAAAGGGTTAATAATAACAATATTTTATAATTATGAAATGTCCATTAAAATCCGGATGGCAGGGCTGGAGGGTTGGCTCAGAGGTTAAGAGAGTGTGCTTCTCTTGAAGAGGACCCAAGTTCCGGGCACCCACACAGAGTAGCCCACAACGGCCGGTAACTCTATCTCTCGGGGACCTGTTACCTCCTCTACCCTCTGTGGGCACCTCTGCACACATGTACACACACACACACACACACATACATACATACAAAGAGAGAGTCTCACACAAATCAAAAAATAAACCTTTCTTTAAAACTCAGATTTGTGGATTTTAAAATTTCAGGTAAATCTGCCTATATTCTCTAAATCAAATTTTATTGGAACTGAATCAGCTAAGGCAATACTCTCCAGTTCACCACCACTTTCTGTTTCTCCCAACACCAAGACAAAGAATCAGTTCCACTTAATACCACACGTGAAGTCTGTCTGTCTTTGCTCATAAGAAAGAGAGGAGCTACCAGCCTGGTCTACAGAGCTAGTTCCAGGACAGGCTCCAAAGCCACAGAGAAACCCTGTCTCGAAAAAACCAAAAAAAAAAAAAAAAAAAAAAAAAGAAAAGA